GTGCTAGATATCCCTACCCGTGGCACAGGCTTCGGACAGAGTTCCAACGGGTCAGCTGTACTGACGACCTGAGCTCGCTCTGGGACTCCGTGTTGCGAGGGGTGGACTACGAGCTGGCAGGGCGCTACGACTGTGTGGGTGCTAAGGCCATGCAGTACATCGGACGCGAGGGGCCGCCGCAGTTCAAGTGGCAGCACTTGTCATGGCAGCCGCCACGCAGGCGTACCTACAAGGAGCCGACCGTGCTGGCCTGGGCCACGGCGAAGCGATGGGCCCAGCACCTTGTGGCTGAGAAGAAGCGGCTGGTGAGGTACATCGAGCGCCTCAAGCTTTGTGCTGCCGTATGTGACATCACGCCGCTGCAGTACACTAAGGTCGTAGTGGCTTTCAACGAGGTGGCTGCCTTTTATAGGCGCGCGGCTCGGTCAGAGCATGTGCTGCGTGTCTTGGATGCTGCCTTCGCAGGCTTCTTTCGGCGAGGGCTGATCGGCTTGGTCGAGGCTGACTTTGAGGACGTAGCCAAGACCATCATTGCCGCAGCTGACCATCATTTGAGAACGGCACAAAGAGCGGCAGAGAGGGCCTGGATGCAGTGGGCCAAAGAAGCCTTCCTGGGAGGAGCATCTCGGGCACATTCGTCCTCCAAGGTTCGGGCTCGACAGGAGGTGCTTGCCTACTCCCACGACGCTCAGCCATATCAGATGGCTGACCGCACGCTCGACAAGTGGAAGGACGTTTGGACCTACCACGGGGCGTGTTCTTTGCCGCTGCCTGTCGATCACGCTCAGTGGCCGTTGCTTCCGCCTTTGACTGCATCGCAGGTGCGTGGAGCCATCAGGAGTTTTCCGTTGAAGACGGCCTCGGGCCAGACGAGGATCGCGCCACGCACGCTCGATGTGCTGTCCGACCAGGCCTTGCAGGGCCTGGCCGATATGTTCATGCTGTTTGAGAGTTGGCTGGCCTGGCCCACGGACAGGCTCTACAGCGAGCTTGTTCGCCTGCCCAAGCCTGACGGGGGCACTAGGTTGATCGTCCTCAGCAATACTTTCGTCAGGTTGTGGGGAAAGCTACGTCGGCCGCTTTCGGCGGAGTGGCAAGAGACACACAGGTGCGAGCATATGTGGGGGTCAAGGGCTGGGCAGACTTCGACCGATTCAGCCTTCGACCACAACCTGAGCCAGGAGATAGGAGAACTTTTAGGTGAGCACACATGCACCATTCTCCTGGACATGACCAAGTGCTTCGATATGGTCAGTCACAGTGCACTTCTCCGAGAAGCTAGAGAGCTCGGGTACCCGCTGAGGCTCCTGTGGTTGCTCCTGGGCTCCTACCGTCAGCCGAGAAGGATCAAGTGTTTTGGGTCTGTATCTAGGCCCTTGGTGGCCCATCAGGGTATTCTTGCGGGCTGCACGCACGCCACGTACCTTCTTTACCTCCTCACGTACCGAGCGGTCCAGCGCACGGCCAGCATTGCACCTTCTATCACGCCACGCACGCTCATGGACGATGTGGGTTTGCAGTACGTGTCGCCTGTATTGAGGGAGGTGTCCAACCTGGCCCGTGCGGCCAAGGCGTTTACGTCGGATGCTGGAGATCTTGGGATGGTCCTGAAGCCGCCGAAGTCTGGATGTATCCCTGGGAACCAAAAAGTTTGGGGACAGCTCAAGAGGCACCTGGGAACCTTGAAGATCCCGTACAGGGCCCACATGAGGAATCTGGGACACGAGCTCACAGGACCTCGAGTTCTTCGGCATATGGAGAAGCGTAGGTTGGTGCAGTTTCGAGAGCGCAAGCATCGTTTTCGCATGTTGAAGTCCGCCGTGGGGCGGAGTGCTACCAGCCTGTGGCGCACGGGCGCCCTTCCATCAGTGGCGCATGGCGGTGCAGTTGCTGGAGTTAGCGACAGCGCTCTTCGCGAGTTGCGACATTGTGCTGCAGTCCTAAATGGTGCTCCAGGTAAGACGATGGTTGGGGTAACAGCGTATCTCATATCTCATCGGGATGAATGTTATGACCCCATATATAACGCCACCACGGATATTGTGCTCAAATACGCCTCCTGGATCTGGGACGGACGTGTGCAACCTAGCAGACTTCGGGAGGCTTGGGTGCGTCTGGGTGCTAAGTTCGACAGTTCACCTTCCTGGGCCAAGGCGCGTGGGCCCCTCGGGGCCACTTGGCTTACTTTGAGGCGCATATCCTGGACTATGTCGTCAGAGCACATCCTGGTCGACGATTTGGGAAACAGTTTTGATTTGTATCGTATATGTCCAGCAGACCTACGAGTATTCCTGCATCAAGGCATTCAGCGATGGCAGCACCATAGGTTGCAGCAGCATTTTTACACCGAGCAGGCGGACGTGTGGCATCGTGCGCTTCGCCACGCGCTCGCCAAGATAAAGTGTCACAGGCGCCTCGGAGCGCTGCAGGCTTTGTGGGCTGACAACCTTCCCATCCCACCACGTCGGGACATGAAGCACGGGAGGCCCATTAGGCCATGTCAGGCCTGCGGCAAGGCTATCGACTCCTGTTGGGGTCATATCTTTTACGACTGCCCGCCGCTCCTCGAAGGGGACCCCGACCAGGAGTATTATGAGTTTCCAGAACAGCTTCAGGAGGTTCGTGACATGCTTCAGGCGTCTGGGCAGATGCTGGGGTGCACCGACTGGGACCAGAGATACCTGATCTATGGGGTTCCCGAGCCTGTTCCTGTACCGCACTACACCACGGTCTCCAAGGAGGTTTTTGCATGGGGAGATGTCTCGGGCTCTTGGGGGCCCACGTCATATACTGACGGTTCGGGGTTCTCGGCCAGCATTCCTGAAGTACGTAGGTGCGGGTGGTCGGTCTGCCAGCTGGACCCCGTCACGTGGCTCCCCGCCAGAGCTGTATATGGGCCTTTGCCCTACTACGTGCAGACAGTAGGACGTGCTGAGCGCTATGCCATTAAGATGGGACTTCAGTGGCATCCTGGGCATGAGGTTTTCATTTCTGATCTGAAATCGCTCGTGGAAGAAGGTGCGTCCTGGGACCAGAGGCTCGAGTTTGGCAAAGCGAAGCACGCCCGAGTCTGGAGAGATATTTTTTCGGCTGCCAGAGCACGCGATCCACGTCTGCCACCAGTGCGGTTTCAGTGGACTCCAGCTCACAGGAAGCTGGAGGACATCATCGGGTCGGCCACGCCAGACGAGCTGGAGGCCTACGTCGGCAATGCCTGGGCCGATTTCTTCGCGAAGTGTGGCAGCGCTTCGCATATGGTGTCAAAGACACTGGCTGACAGTCTGGCAGCTGGGCTGAAGCAACACAGGCAGGTCCTGCACTATGTGTCGTGGGCGGCCTTCCAGGTCGTGCAGTTTCGGAAGTGGGGAGCTGACCCTGTCGTGGTGCAGGACCCAGAGCTCGCCCAGGTGCCCAAGCGTGTGGTTTTCGAGAGGCCCCAGGACCACGAGTTGCTCTTCTGCCAGAGGACGTCAGAGTATCGGTGTCGAAGGTGCAATCGTGTCGCTCGGTGTGCGAGTACCCTCCAGACTCTTCGTTCGGGAGCTGATCGTGTATGTGCTCCCTCGCCCCTTGTCCAGAGCCTGGCCGAGGACTTCTTCTTGCGGAGTTCTGAGGCGTGGCTTAGTGTCTCGGATTCTAGGGTCACGGCGGCCATCGAGGCGGCCGATAGGATGTTGGGGTCCACGTCTCGGCCTTTGGAGGCCTCCTCGGTTCCCGCGGTCCCTCCTCAGCCGCTGGGGCAGGTGTCGGCTGCCAGCGGCTCGGCCCACGTACCCCAACCTGTGCTTGCTGAATTCGCTGAATTGGGGCATGATGTTTTCTGTGTCAATTCCGTGTATTGCTGCCGCAAGTGCGGTGGCAATTTCAACGGGTCCGAGTCCTTCAGGTCCGCCCGCAAGCTGCGGGCGCAGTGCCAAGGTTTCTCGGAGAATCCAAAGACTAGGGCGAACCAGCTCACGGCGATCGACCGCATCACCCGTGGCCTGGAGCCCCGCCAGCGGGGGGCAGGAGCGGTGCGTTCTGGCCCGAACCCTGCCCCCTAGTGTTTCTTTTGGGCTTGGGCCTGGGAGGTTTTCTTGGGTGTGGTTTTCCTGAGGCGCCCCACCCTCTCCCAGGCTTCCGCCCTCCGCCACCCCTGTGGCTCTCAGGTCTCACACGCGGTGGGTGTTCGTCACTCGGACGCCTCTCCTGCGGCTCGCTCCTCGCTCGCTCGCTCTTCCTCCCTCCTCCCCTCCTCCTCCTCCTCTCCTCCTTCCTCGCTCCCTCCTCCTCCCCTCCTCCTCCTCCTCCTCCTCCTCCTCCTCTTCCTCCTCTCCTCCCTCCTCTCCTCCTCCTCCTCCTCCTCTCCTCCTACCTCTCCTCCTCCTTCCTCCCTCCTCCCTCCTCCCTCCTCCCTCCTCCCTCCTCCCTCCCCAGAGGTCTGGACCCCTTCCCCAGGACCTGTTTTTCGTCCTGACTCGTTTTTTGACGGTCCCGAGGCCCGGTGAGGGACCGCGGAGGCCGAAAATAGCGGCAAACATCCCGTCGCGATTTGTTCACAGCGCGAGGAGGTTTGGGTCGCCGTGGGTTTGCCGTGGTGCCGGCGTCGTTCCTTCGGGCGCGTCGAGACCAAACGGCGCGTCCGGGTCTCATAGGGCGAGTCGCCAATCTTCACCACCCACCAAACCACCCCAACCCAGCCCGAAGGCCTCAATTTGCCATCCGTTTCCAGTGGGGGGGGTCGGGGAACATTGGAAAAAAACACATGGAACCCGTACCCCCCCCCAAACCCGAAATTCTGTTCAAGTTCGGTGGTGCCGGCGTGTTCCACTCGGGCGCGTCGAGACCAAACGGCGCGTCTGGTTTTGGAATTCAAAAAAAAGCTGGTTCTTGAAGTCCAAAAACTGGTTCTTGAAGTCCAAGCAGATTGGTTCAAGAAATGTCTTTTTTGGAATCCAAACAGCATGTTGTCTGGATTCGTAAACCAGTCCCATAGGGCGAGCCGCCAATCTCTTTGCCCAGGCGAGCCCGCAAGCTGGGCACCGCGGGCCTCGCCGGTCGCGCGCGCGAGCCCCTGCCTGGCGGACTGCGCCGCGGAGGGCGGCCGGGCGGGGCCCCGCGAGCCTCCGGGCGGCTGCGTGTTCGAGCTGGGCCTTCCGGTGGCGGGCTTCAGACCCCGAAGCCCTCGGGCAGAGAAAGAGTCACGACGCGGGAGGTTGTTCCTGATGTTCGGCCTCCGGGGGTCCACCACCGGGCCTCGCGACCGTCCAAAGAACGACTCGGGATGAAAAATCGGTCCTCGGGAATGGGTCGAGACTTCCGGGGGCCCCGAATTGAACAAGCACGACGTCGGATCTCTGGGGAGGAGGGAGAGCTCCAGAGGTCCGGCGTCGTCATTTTTTCAATGCGCGGTCCCCGGAAGCCTCGATCCATTCCCCAGGACCGGTTTCTCATCCTGAGTCTTTTCTTGACGGTTCCGAGACCCGGCGAGGGCCCCTATGGGCGCCGAAATTTGCGAAAAACTTCCGTCGTGATTTTTTCAGTGCGGTGGACCTCTGGGAGGTACCCAGAGATCCGACGCTCCAGATCAACTGGAGCGGCAAACTTTTGGCCGTCTTCGGCCTCCGGGGGCCCTCGCCGGGCCTCGGGACCATCCAAAAACGAGTCAGGACGAAGCACTGGCCCTGCAGGGAAGTGGTCCAGACCTCCGGGGCCCACGCATGGAAAAAATTGGAGCGGCCAGATGTCTGGGTATACCCACACCTCTACCCTGCGCCCTTTCCCCCTTTTTGGGCCTCCTGCGAGGCCCTCGTCGCCACCGCCGGGTTCGCCTCGAAGTTCTGGTCCGAACGCACCCGGGGAGAGGTCCAGGGAGTGGCGGTGTCGCTGCCTTTCTATCTCCCCAGGGCTGCTCGCCCGATGGCACGCCGGCGGAGGCCGCCGAGGATCCGAGGATGGCCATGGAGGAAGCGGGTCCGGAGGGAAACGGGGTCCTGGGTCTTTTCGCCGTGTTGGGCTTCCTGGGGCCCTCCACGGGCCCAGGGACTGCCAGAAAGCCACTCAGGGTGACCATTTTGATCCAGGGTCAGGTCGGGCCTGTCCCCTGCAGGGGGATTTTCGACGAACAATAAAAGATACCCCCGAAGTGTTGAGAAACTAGTCCAAAAATAGTCTGGGGACTTTTTTGGTTGCGTATTTGTTGACCTTTCTGGGGTATTTTGGGCGTTTTTTTTTTTTTTCGTCGAGAATCCCCCTGTAGGGGGACAGGCCCGACTTCATTCTGGGGGGGAGGCTCCAGGTTCCAGGGCCCGTTTCCCTCAAGAGGCCCGCCTCTTCCATGCTAATAAGAGGAGAGAGGGAGCTCGGCGACGACAACCAGAGGAGGGCGAGTGGAGGCAACGGCACAGTCAGCCTTCGGGGGCCCCCCCTCGTCGCCATGGCCGGACGCGGCTCGGAGGGCTGGTGCGTTCGGACCCTGGGAGGGGTCTGGGGGCCGATTGTGAGCTGCTGTTGTCTCGAGTCTCGACTCTCTCTCTCTCTCTCTGCTCCGATACAGAAGGGTGTGGGTACGCCAGGGTGTGGCTTGCGCCAGCAGCCTTGAAATCCTGGTGTCTCAATTTTTTAGAGCCATGCATTTCGCCAGCTCGAAAATGACGCAGGAAGAGGGGGTCGCCACTACCCGCGACCTGTACCTTCAGCACCTTCCGCGCGGCAGGTGCTACGCTGGCGCGGCCACCGCCGCGGCCGCAGCGGCGGTTACCGTCGCGGCCGCAGCGGCGGCCGCCGTGGCCGAATCGCGGCGGCACCACCCGCGCGGAAGGGTCGAGAGGTACAGGTCGGGGGTACAAAGGGTGCCATTACGCTTGGGTGTGGTTTGCGATCTTCGTCGTTGGAGCTTGGGGGGCCCCACGTTGCCCTCGTCGGGCCTCTGGCCGCACCCCAGGGTGCGGGCTGCAAACCGCACCCTTTGCAAACCACGCCCTCTCGAGTCGCTGAAAGGGGGTCCTATATCGGCTACGCGTAAACCCAAGGAATGAAACAGCAAAAGCAAGACGGAGGCTTCCCGCTGGGCCCCAGGAGCGTCAAACAGTACTCAGGATGAACTCTTAAGAGCCAGTCCCAGTGAGGTGGTCCAGAACGTCGTCGTCGTCGTCGTCGTCGTGTCGTCGTGTCGATGCAGCAGCGATTTCGTCGCGGGCGTTCCAGGGTCAGACGCTGCCGGCGGCCCAGAGCCGGCCAGTCTGGAACGCTTTGGGCGGTCGGAGGGCCGCCGAACGTTTCGAGGGCGACGAGGCTACGCGTGCGGTGCGGAAGCCAACGCTGGGGTCGCCACGGCACGCACCCGTCTTGGCGCCGCTCGGACGTGTGCCTCTTCCCTTCGGCGAGGACCCTCGAGGAGCACCCTCGATCAGTCGGCGAAGAAGCCACGCACGAAGCTGGAAAAAAGGCACAGGGAAGGGAGGTCCGAGCGACGGCCGGCCGTCGTACCCAGATCCCTGGCGACATGATCGGAGCTGTGGGAAAACACACACACACACACACTATGGGAAAAAAAACACAGTGGGGAAAAAACACCTGGTGTGTTTTTGTGTGTTGTTTTGTTGTGTTTGTTTCTCCCACAGTGTGTGTTTTTCCCCACTGTGTGTGTGTGTGTGTTTTTGTTGTGTGTGTGTGTGTGTGTGTGCGAGTGCGTGAGTGTGTGTGAGTGTGTGAGTGTGTGAGTGTGTGAGTGTGTGAGTGTGTGAGTGTGTGAGTGTGTGAGTGTGTGAGTGTGTGAGTGTGTGAGTGTGTGAGTGTGTGAGTGTGTGAGTGTGTGAGTGTGTGTGCGTGTGCGTGTGCGTGTGTGTGTGTGTGTGTGTGCTTGTGTGCTTTTTCCCACAACTGGTGCCTTGTTTCTTGCCTTCGGCCCTCGGGGGCCGCCTGCCGATCTCCGGGGCCGCAACCGCAGCCGGGGCAGGCCCACGGGGATCCCGCCGTATAGCACTGGCTGGCGCGGCAGGGTTGCCTGGGTCTGGCGGCCCTCCCGGGGCCGCGCCACCGGAGGTTGCCTCCTGCCCACAGTGAACCCTGACTCCAGATCCGCCCTACTTTGGCTTTTTTCCCAGCTTAAAATTGCGTCGGAAATCCACCTATAAGGGGCCGAAAAGTTAGGGCGGAGATTTCTGCACCCAACAGAAAGTGGGGCGGAAATCCACAGAAGCAGGGCGGAAACAGGAACAGAAAAGTAGGGCGGAAATTGGCATCAGCGGGGCTTGAAAAGTAAGGCGGAAATTCCAAACCCTACTTACGAATTTTCTCAAAGTAGGGCGGATCCGAAGTCAGGGTTGCCTCCTGCCCACAGTGAAGTCGGGCCTGTCCCTCCACAGGAGGAATGCTCAAGGGTCGCCCAAAAATAGCCAGGGGACCATTTTTTGATATGTTGCTTGGCCATTTTAGGGGCATGTTTGGACTGTCTCGTATCTTTCTTCCAGAATCCCCGTGCAGTGTTTGACCATTTTTGGGGCATGTTTCGACTATCTCTTCTATTTTTCTTCCAGAATCCCCGTGCAGGAGGACAGGCCCGACTCGAGCCTACAGGGTCACTCTTGCGCGCAGCCGGCTATCGACCCACCTCGTCGCTCCGCGAGAGGAGCTGCCGACGGTGGGGCCGGGGCAGCCTTCGGCCTCCGGTGGCCCTCGCCGGGGCCCCCTGGGACCGTCGAGGACCAGAGGACGATCGAAGAGCAAGGCGTCGGCGTCACCCCAACATACTTATGCTAAATGTGCGTCGCCCCCCCCCCCCCCTGGGGGCGACGCGCGCAGCGAGAAGTCTGATAGTATACGTGCGTCGTGGGGGGCGCGTTCTGGCCACACCGCTCGGGAAACGATCTACGACAAGACGGGTCAACTACATGTCCAGGTCGGACGCGCGCAGGAGGAGGAGGAGGAGGAGGAGGAGGAGGAGGAGGAGGAGGAGGAGGAGAGAGGAGGAGGAGGAGGAGGAGGAGGAGGGGGAGGGGGAGGGGGAGGAGGAGAAGAGGGAGGGGAGGGGAGGGGAGGAGGGGGAGAGGAGGAGGAGGAGGAGGAGGAGGAGGAGGAGAGGAGGAGGAGGAGGAGGAGGAGGTGGAGGAGGAGGAGAGGCGAGGAGGAGAGAGGAGGAGAAGAGAGGAGGAGGAGGATGACGATGAGGAATGAGGAGGTGAGGAGAGGATGAGGATGAGGATGAGGATGAGGCTGAGGATGAGGACGAGGACGAGGAGGAGGAGGGGAGGAGGAGGAGGAGAAGGAGGAGGAGGAGGCGGAGGAGGAGAGAGGAGAGAGGAGAGAGGATGAGAGGAGGAGAGGAGAGAGGAGAGCAGGGTGAGAGAGGAGAGAGGGGAGAGGATGAGAGAGGAGGGAGAGAGGAGAGAGGAGAGAGGAGAGAGGAGAGAGTGAGAGGAGAGAGGTGAGAGGAGAGAGGAGAGAGGAGAGAGGAGAGGGAGGAGGAGAGAGAGGAGGAGGAGAGAGGAGGGAGGAGGAGAGGAGGAGGAGAGGAGGACGAGGAGGAAGACGAGGACGAGGACGAGGAGGACGAGGAGGACGAGGAGGACGAGGACGAGAGAGGACGAGGAGGACGAGGAGGACGAGGAGGAGGAGGAGGAGGAGGGGGAGGAGGAGGGGGAGGAGGGGGGGGAGGAGGGGGAGGGGGAGGGGGAGGGAGGAGAGGAGGAGGAGGAGGAGGAGGAGGAGGAGGAGGAGAAGCAGGGTGTGCCGCGGGTTTGACGTGGTGTCGGCGTTGTCCACTTGGGCGCGTTCAGAACAAACGGCGCGGCGAGATATCTTCGCGGGCCCGCAAGTTCACGTTCACGGTCGTTCTGGTTCGTCTAGGGGGGGAAGGACCCAGACCCCCTCGGGTAATGAAGAAATCATGGCTGGAGGTTTTTCGCTATGTTCGGCCTCCTGGGGCCCTTACGAGGCCTCGGGAGCGTCAAACAACGACTCAGAATCGCAAACCGGTCCAGGGACATTCGACGTCGGGGGTCTGGGGATGCCGATGTGCCTCAAGGACACTGGCGGCACGCAGGGGGGGAGGTGGCGCGAGGCGAGCGGCCTTCGAAGGGGGCGGGGGGCCTTCGGAGGAAGGCATGGGCCTTCTCAGAAGCGCCAGGGTGCTTACGGTAAGGCTTCTTAGAAGCCAGGAGGGCTCCTACAAGAAGCCCCCTTGCCTTCTCAGGAGCTCGGTGCAGGCCGCTGCCCGATGTCCGACGTCTGGGCTCTGCAGGGTTTTGGGAGGGCGGCCGCCTCTTCCGAGAAGGCGCGGGGGGGGTCTCTGCGAAGGCAGGGGCCCTCGCTTGAGGGAGGAGGGAGGAGGGAGGAGGAGGAGGAGGAGGAGGAGGAGGAGGAGGAGGAGGGGAGGAGGAGGAGGAGGAGAGGAGGAGGAGGAGGAGGATGGGGATGGAGGGAGGAGGAGGAGGAGGAGGAGGAGGAGGAGGGGGGGGGGAGGGGGAGGGGTGAGGGGGAGGGGGAGGGGAAGGGGCAAGCTAGGTGCGCTTGCGTCATATCTGACGTCCTACCCCTCCCGCCCATCCCTTGCCATGGCGCTGATTTTCTCTATCCGCGGGCGCGTGTCGTAGCGGACCTGTGGCTCCGCGCGCGCGTGCGTAGTGGGTGGTGGTGCGCGTGCGTGCGTGCGTGTGTGCGTGGTTGTCGTGGTGGTCGTGGTGGTGGTCGTGGTGGTGGTAGTGGTGGTGGTGGTGGTGGTGATGGTGGTGGTGGTGGTGCTGGTGGTGGTGGTGCTGGTGGTGGTGGTGTTGGTACTGGTGCTGGTGCTGGTGCTGGTTGTGGTGGTGGTGGTGGTGGTGGTGGTGGTGGTGGTGGTGGTGGTGGTGGTGGTGGTGGTGGTGGTGGTGGTGGTGGTGGTGGTGGTGGTGGTGGTGGTGGTGGTGGTGGTGGTGGTGGTGGTGGTGGGGGTGGTGGTGGTGGGGGTGGTGGTGCGGCGCGGTGGTGGCGGGCGGATGGGCGCGCGAGAAAGAGGCCCGCGCTGGGGCGAGAACGCCATCCTGAACGACGGAGGCCAAACACCGATCCGAAAATGAGGCCCACGCTGCAGCGGGGGCACGATTCGGAACGATTCGGGAACAGAAATGAGGCCGGCGCCTCAGCGAGAGCAGCATTTTGAAAAAAAAACACAGGCGAAAACCCGTTTCCCGGGAATCCTGTGTAAAAAAAACAGTACGCGGGGGGGGTCGGATATCTTCGGGACGCCATCAGGGGAAGTGGAAGAGTATTTTCATATTGTGTAATTGTGGAGGGAGGAGGAGGGAGGAGGAAGAGGGGGAGGAGGAGGAGGAGGGGGAGGAGGAGGG